ACTGTTGCTGTTTGTGCCGACAGGTCTAGGAATCTTCAGGTGTTTTCAGAGCAGATTTGACTCTCTTCGGGTTCCTCTCAGATTGGCTCTCACTTTTTTTTGTGGATTTCATGTTGGGTTTGAGTAGGCTTTCCAGACCCACAAAGATTTCTACTTAAACCTTGAAAATATGTTACTTCAATGTATTACTCCAAAATAAATAAAGCCAAATCTTGATGTTATTGCTTCCGCCTGTTTCCTCGAGTAACCAATTTTCCATTTAGCGTACAAAATGTTATAAAGTATCCTGTCTCCACGGCCCAAGGACACGTCTTCAGATGTCTCGATTTGTCTAATTAGTCCAAACAAAGATATTCAGTGACGTAGGACAAAGGAAACCATCCATTCCTCTCATATGAGAAGCTGCACTATTTAATTACCAAAACAGCTGCAGCTCTGCACACAACTACATGCTGTGTGAATTATTAGCCGTCTTAAAACATTAATTAAAAAAAAACCTAATATTCAGGTGAGGATCATCTGTGTATTGCAATAGTCGAGTGCATCTCAGGACTTTGTCAACTACAAATCTGCTCTATTCCATGGCAACAAGTCACTGGAAACACGTGAAGACAAAACCAAAAAAAACTCTGAAGAGCGAAACACAACAAAGTCAGTAGACAGAGGTGGGTTGTGGTGCTGGCTCACCAGTCTTCCAGCCCGGACAGGAGACAGAGCTGTGTGGGCAGGCACCGAGTCTCAATAAACAACAGAGATGCTTCCAGAGGAGACTGGCAGCCATGACGGCAACACACTATGGCAGGAAAGAAGGAATAAGAGACGGAGGTCTACGAACCATGACTCCAATCATGACCACAGGGTCTGACAGCAGAGCCAGCGAAACCACATGAGCCAAAACACATGCATACTATCACACACACATACACAGTGGCTATAGTAAATGGGTCACTGGGTGCAGTAATCTTCGGTGAAGGTGCGTAGCTTGGTTCTCGCAGTCCTTTGTTTATTAGTCTTTAGTGATCACACTGAGCCGACGTGGAACACAAAACAGCGGTCACTATGAGCTGTGGTTATTTTCCAATGCGAGAGAAAAACACCAGGAAGATTCTGTGTTCCTGCACAAATCAGCAGGTGTGCTACATATCCCAACAGTTAACGTCAGAGCAAGGAATGCATTAGCTGTCACATTCATCTTTCTTTATTGTCTCCCACAGGCTGATCAGAGTGCTGTTCTTGGCAACTAGTGATGTGTAATTTCAACATCATTCCAATCAACACATGTTAGAAACACTGGCAAGAAACTAAAAATGAAGTTAAACTAAATGAATGAAGCATTTTCCCTTGTAGTGCTCCAATATATGCTGGTCAAAAGAAAAATATATACAGTGAGGACAAATAGAGCAAGAAAGGTTTGTCTTAACTTCCACTTTATGCAGCCTTTATTCCACGCTGCAGTTTCATGTCACCCTTTCTTTCTGTCTTCTTTCCTTATCTTTACTGACAGGAGAGAAGAGATGTGCTCATAAGCATCAAGGTAACGTACTTGGCAAATCTTTGCTCAGCTAAACATCACACCAAATGAGACAAGCACACACATTTGTGACAGCATTTAGCCACATGCAGTATGTGTCTTCACTGCAGCCGTCTCCACAAGGCTCTTTGCTCCTTTACTCCTCCAAATATTAATGATGACAGACCTAGATCAATTTCAGGGTCATGAGCTGGAGGACAAAGAACTGGAGAAGATGAGGGCACATCAATTAAAAAAAGTGACAAGGACCACAAATCTGAGATGCTGGGCAGTCATAGAGAGTGCAAGAAGATCCTCTCCTGGGACAAAAACCCTCTACACTGGGGTGAGTGCAAACTGCACATACCAGCTGTGTATTTAAATAAAAAAAAGACTTTCAAGTTCACAAGGCTTCACCCTAACCTGAATAAACACTGTCTGATAAATGACTAGAAACAAGAGCCATAGCAATGCCTGAGAAATCCTCCCCCAGTCTCACAGCTTGTGCTACCAGTCAAACTCTCTGACATGCACAAATCAGCCTGATTATTTAATAAATTTTCATCAGGATGTTTTTTTTTTTTGTTTGTTTTTGTTGTTTTTTTTTTTGCTCTATGCACTGCCTTAACAAACATCAAAGATTAAAAGGCTTAACAAAGTGGGATTAAGGATATAGCATGTTACAGGGCTGCTGTATAAATGATCATATAATGTCAGGCAGCTGTGGAAGATCAGTGAGAAAGCAAACTGTGGCAGAACAAACAAGGCAACAGGTTTTAAAGGGGGGAAAAGGGGAAAAGTCAATGTTCCTTGAAATGATGATGGATGAACACGGTTACAGTGGTTTACTGCATCAACAGCTGTGCATTAAAGACACCAATCTCATGCTGTGCTCTGTAGTGTAATCCACTCAGATCTACTGCAACAAATACCAACAATACAATTTCATTTTGATGACTGCAAACCGCTGTGCGTTCCCGATCTCCAACTCTGCACGATGGCCTACATTCCTGTGTTTAGTCAGTCTTCACCCTCTCATCTCCCTTGAATCTGATCGTTCAAACAACCAGGCTCAGAGATGCTCTCCAGACCCCGAGCTCATATGGAGCAGACACTGCTGATCAGCTTGCTTCTACTAAGACAGTGAAGCCACCATTTGATTCCTTAATTCAGGTGAACTTCTGCATAATCCTGATTTACTGCATCCTAGAAACTTCTTGGAAAAACACCATTTATTGACAGAATAACACCCAGTGCAGTTCAGTTACAGGATATTGTCATTTTAGAAGCCAGAGAGAAGATCCATAAAATCAAAATCTGGACAGTGCTTCCCATCCATTGATTTATTTGTGGCCGCCACACTATCAACATCAACTGCCACTGATTTAAAATAGGATCTTTTTTTAATGTAGTGCACTATTTCTGCTCTTTTTCTCTCTCACATACAAACACGACAACCTTGACGATGAACCATCTGTGAACATCTCCTCTTCCACATGTTTGTTTTTTTAACCCAATGCTTCTAGCATATTATTAGCAAGCTGGTAAGGCTAGCTAAGCTATGATAAGAATACAGCTGTTGCTGAGGTTAGCATGCTGTATGTGGATGTATAAGGACTGCTCTACAAGTGGATAAAGTTAATGCTAGTTCATAAACTCTGACGCTGAATGTTCGGCCCCCCAGATCTACCGCCACAATTAGAATGGAATTCTATGAGAAAGACTATCTGGATTTACTGAAGAATACCATCAAGATATTCAACTGCACACTTTTTTTGTGCACAGGCATCCACATTTTTAATGCAGATGAAATGCAGATGTTTTCCAGCTGCACCGTCAGGGAGAGAGATCAAAGAGAAGGGGGTGAGAAGGGATGAGAGTATGAGGATGTTGCTTAAACATGTCAGCTCCTCTGAAATAAGCCAAGTCACTGTTTCACAAAAATACTTCAAGAATGAAACTGCCTTGACAAAAGAGAGGTGAAAAGGGAAGGAAGACACACCACACACTATAAAAGGAAGGATGGAAGTGATATGTGGGCGGATGGGAGAGGCGCTGCATTTACATTATGGACATTAACTCCATAAGTAGCTTTTATCTGCTCTATGGGCTGCTTCAGACCACCTCGCCGCTCAGCTACAAATAGAAACCAGATCATGACACGGAAAAGTAAAGAGCAAAAAGGGAAAAACAGAGCTATTATTGCAAACAAAAAATAAATAAAGCTCTAAGTAAATATTTGACCACAGTGTCCAGACCGTGCAGATCAGACACCCCTTCAGAAACATGGTGTGTCTGGTGTGGACAGCTTCATGTGGGAATAAAGCAGCTGGAAGAAAACGTGCCTTCACACATTCAGAGAGCGGGTTAAAACGCCAGGCTGTCATGAAGGTACCTGGCTTGGCTCTATTCATGCATCTTATAAACACAGACCCATAGCAGCCTCTGTCTCCCCTGCTGCCTGCACACAGAGGACACATTCATCCCAAAGTGGGCACCAGGAGGAGACTGGAGGGGGGCAGCAGACACACTTCAACTAAAAGGAATTTTTCATCCACTTTCACTGTCATGGCTGTGTTGAAGGCACAGGAAAACACAATCAGTGCTTGTCTACATTTCATTCCACATGCGGAGAGCAGATAAAAGTGACTGAGTTTTGACATGATGAGCGGTGAATCAATGAGTCTGATCCTTGGTGAGATAACAGCATTCCCTGCACAAAACTAGGAATGACCCTCTCACCTTTTCCATCTCACTGTGCACCCGAGGTTATGAACTCTACAAGGTTTTGACAAAGGGAGAAGCTGTCACATCCTGTTGATTTTTTATTTTTCCTCTCTCTTCTTTTTTGGATTACAGTCAGGCAGAAGCACAGCACTGCTTGTACATATGAACGGCACCCATATAAGCATGCCAAGCTGAGGCTGGGACACGCAGTGCAAACATGCAAACAGAAGTGTGAATATCAGAAATGGCTTATCCAATGTATTACTTTATTCTCCTGGGAATACATAATGACATGGCAGGGCAGCCTTCAGTGATAGATAGAACCTTGTTATCATCCTGCCCTGCTCCAGATGAGAAATGTTAAATAATGTGTAATTAGATTAGGGCAATACACAAACAGACATGTTGTTTTGTTTAAAGAAAAGGCTATATACCTAAAACTTTGTATTTTCTCGTCTCAAAATCTTTCACTCAAGACCATTTGTATTCTTCACAGTTCCAGTAAAATTCCATTAAATCCCGTGGATACACGCCTGGATTTACATTCAATGTTGTAGCTGTTGGTTTTCCCCCAAAACCAGGGTTCATGGGGGTGGGGAGGGGAGCCCCCTTCCCCCACTGAGCCTAAAACAATATGCAGCTGTTTTAAATTCTTTAAATGTCAACTTACTTTAAGTGTTATGCGGGAAAGTAAAAGTCTGGTGTTTAGCGTGTTCAAACAGAAGAGAAAAGCATATAACTGTTACAGTAGCTTGTCACCGACCTTGGATGGAGATAATACCCAGGGCGAACATCGTTACCGCGGGGTCTCTTCTGCCCTCGCTCCCTCTTGGTATATCCATGACCGACCCGGTGCTCGGCGGCTCCCCGGTACTCTTTTCAGGCGGCTACGGGAAAGCCGAAGCGCGAAAGAGGAGCGTCAAAGATATTAGTACGTCACCGTGTGCGTACAGGTAAATGAACCCCGTTAACTGTGCAGGTTCCTCCAAGGGAAGCGAGGCGGGTGGCTCACCTGGCTGATTTAGAAACTAACAAGAAGACAGAAACGTGGGAACGGACACTTCGGCTGATAGGCCAGCCACACAAACGACTTAACGAGTTCAGACTGAGCAGCCCCGCCGAAAGTTTGAGGCGAAATTTAAACTTCCAGGTGACTTACAGAGACGAAACTATGGTGTGAATTTAGACCACACGGGTTCATAAATATCCGGTCTGTGTAGCCGTAGTGCTCCCGCGTCCAGAACCACCGACCGCCGGGAAGGTCTGGCTTCAACAAGAGGAGTTTGGCTCCACGGTGTTTCCAAGTTGGCTTCCTCCCACACGCCTGTGTGATTTTTGCACCAGCGTAATAAAAAAATCCCGAAACAACACACCTGAGTTCCTGTTTGGACTTTCAAAATAAATGTAAGGTATAATTGCTTCCATATTTTGCTGAACATTTTATCAACCGTACAGAACAAACAAACAAAAAATATCATTTAATCTTAATGTTTGTTTAACTGTATAATATTAATTTGGTTTAACTGTATTTCCATGCAGTGTAAAGTCAGTCATCATTAGAAAGCGCATATTTGCTGCAGCTCTATTTAAACAAAAATCTAACTTTTATCTGAAATTCATATTTACAGACACCAAACAACCCTGAGCAGTTTCATCCATTCAGTATATAGAAAATGGGGAAAAAAAGACAAGAACATTTTTATTTTTAAATAGAACCATCAAGCATCCTGTATCGATGTGTGTGTCTCGTTCTGGCTGCTTGACATGTTATTCTCCCTCTTTTCCTACGGTGCAGCTTCCGGTGGCCGTGCCTGACCTGGGATAAGGAATACAACACTGCGACCCCCTGGTTCAACCTGGTCACTGTTTCCTTGAACTTCACATATTCAGACTTCTTTCATATCATATCTTGAAAAAAGGCCCATCATGGTTTTATTCCTTATATATTAAATATTTTTGAAGATTCTTCTTCTTCTTTCGGCTGTTCCCGTTAGGGGTCGCCACAGCGAATCATCTGTTTCCACCTAACTCTATCCTCTGCATCCTCTACTCTCACTCCAGTTAACTTCATGTCCTCTTTTAGCACATCCATATATCTCCTCTTTGGCCTTCCTCTTGACCTCTTGCCTGGCAGCTCCATCTCCAACATCCTTCTACCAATATAACCACTATCCCTCCTCTGCACATGTCCAAACCATCTC